GTCCGGAAACAACCATGCGTCCGGACACAACCATGCGTCTGGACACAAGCATGCGACCGGACACAAGCATGCGTCCGGACAGAAGCATGCGTCCGGACACAAGCATGCGTCGGACACAAGCATGCGACCGGACTCAAGCATGCGTCCGGACACAAGCATGCGTCCGGACTCAAGCATGCGTCCGGACACAAGCATGCGACCGGACACAAGCATGCTTCCGGACACAAGCATGCGACCGAACTCAAGCATGCGTCCGGACACAAGCATGCGTCCGGACACAAGCATGCGTCCGGACACAAGCATGCGTCCGGACACGAGCATGCGTCCCGGACACGAGCATGCGACCGGACACAAGCATGCGTCCGGACACAAGCATGCGTCCGGACACAAGCATGCGTCCGGACACAAGCATGCGACCGGACTCAAGCATGCGTCCGGACACAAGCATGCGTCCGGACACAAGCATGCGTCCGGACACAAGCATGGGACCGGACTCAAGCATGCGTCCAGACACAAGCATGCGACCGGATTCAAGCATGCGTGCGGACACAAGCATGCGACCGGACACAAGCATGCGTCCGTACACAAGCATGCGACCGGACTCAAGCATGCGTCCGGACACAAGCATGCGTCCAGACACAAGCATGCGTCCGAACACAAGCATGCGACCGGACTCAAGCATGCGTCCGGACACAAGCATGCGTCCGGACACAAGCATGCGTCCAGACACAAGCATGCGTCCGTACACAAGCATGCGTCCGGACACAAGCATGCGACCGGACTCAAGCATGCGTCCGGACACAAGCATGCGTCCGGACTCAAGCATGCGTACGGACACAAGCATGCAACCGGACTCAAGCATGCGTCCGACACAAGCATGCGTCCGGACACAAGCATGCGTCCGGACACAAGCATGCGTCCGGACAAAAGCATGCGTCCGGACACAAGCATGCGTCCGGACTCAAGTATGCGTCCGGACACAAGCATGCGTCCGGACACAAGCATGCGTCCGGACACAAGCATGCGACCGGACTCAAGCATGCGTCCGGACACAAGCATGCGTCCGGACTCAAGCATGCGTCCGGACACAAGCATGCGTCCGGACACAAGCATGCGTCCGGACACAAGCATGCGACCGGACTCAAGCATGCGTCCGGACACAAGCATACGTCCGGACACAAGCATGCGTCCGGACACAAGCATGCGTCCTGACACAAGCATGCGTCCGGACACAAGCATGCGACCGGACTCAAGCATGCGTCCGGACACAAGCATGCGTCCGGACACAAGCATGCGTCCGGACACAAGCATGCGACCGGACTCAAGCATGCGTCCGGACACAAGCATGTGTACGGACACAAGCATGCGTCCGGACACAAGCATGCGACCGGACTCAAGCATGCGACCGGAAACAAACATGCGTCCGGACACAAGCATGCATCCGGACACAAGCATGCGTTTGGACACGAGTATGCGTCCGGACACGAGTATGTGACCGGACACAAGCATGCGTCCGGACACAAGCATGCGTCCGGACACAAGCATGCGTCCGGACACAAGCATGCGTCCAGACACAAGCATGCGACCGGACACAAGCATGCGTCCGGACACAAGCATGCGTCGGACACAAGCATGCGTTCGGACACAAGCATGCGTCCGGACACAACCATGCGTCCGGACACAAGCATGCGTCCGGACACAAGCATGCGTCCGGACACAAGCATGCGTCCGGACACAAGCATGCGACCGGACTCAAGCATGCGTCCGGACACAAGCATGCGTCCGGACACAAGCATGCGTCCGGACACAAGCATGCGACCTGACTCAAGCATGCGTCCGGACACAAGCATGCGTCGGACACAAGCATGCGTCCGGACCCAAGCATGCGTCCGGACAAAAGCATGCGTCCGGACACAAGCATGCGTCCAGACACAAGCATGCAACCGGACACAAGCATGCGTCCAGACACAAGCATGCGTCGGACACAAGCATGCGTTCGGACACAAGCATGCGTCCGGACACAACCATGCGTCCGTACACAAGCATGCGTCCGGACACAAGCATGCGTCCGGACACAAGCATGCGTCCGGACACAAGCATGCGACCGGACTCAAGCATGCGTCCGGACACAAGCATGCGTCCGGACTCAAGCATGCGTCCGGACACAAGCATGCGTCCGGACACAAGCATGCGTCCGGACACAAGCATGCGACCGGACTCAAGCATGCGTCCGGACACAAGCATACGTCCGGACACAAGCATGCGTCCGGACACAAGCATGCGTCCGGACACAAGCATGCGTCCGGACACAAGCATGCGACCGGACTCAAGCATGCGTCCGGACACAAGCATGCGTCCGTACACAAGCATGCGTCCGGACACAAGCATGCGACCGGACTCAAGCATGCGTCCGGACACAAGCATGTGTACGGACACAAGCATGCGTCCGGACACAAGCATAGCGACCGGACTCAAGCATGCGACCGGAAACAAACATGCGTCCGGACACAAGCATGCATCCGGACACAAGCATGCGTCTGGACACGAGTATGCGTCCGGACACAAGCATGCGTCCGGACACAAGCATGCGTCCGGACCCAAGCATGCGTCCGGACACAAGCATGCGTCCAGACACAAGCATGCGACCGGACACAAGCATGCGTCCAGACACAAGCATGCGTCCGGACACAAGCATGCGACCGGACTCAAGCATGCGTCCGGACACAAGCATGCGTCCGGACACAAGCATGCGTCCGGACACAAGCATGGGACCTGACTCAAGCATGCGTCCGGACACAAGCATGCGTCGGACACAAGCATGCGTCCGGACACAAGCATGCGTCCAGACACAACCATGCGTCCGGACACAAGCATGCGTCCAAACACAAGCATGCGTCCGGACACAAGCATGCGTCGGACACAAGCATGCGTCCGGACACAAGCATGCGTCCGGACACAAGCATGCGACCGGACTCAAGCATGCGTCCGGACACAAGCATGCGTCCGGACACAAGCATGCGTCCGGACACAAGCATGCGACCGGACACAAGCATGCGTCCGGACACAAGCATGCGTCGGACACAAGCATGCGTCCGGACACAAGCATGCGTCCGGACACAACCATGCGTCCGGACACAAGCATGCGTCCGGACACAAGCATGCGTCCGGACACAAGCATGCATCCGGACACAAGCATGCGACCGGACTCAAGCATGCGTCCTGACACAAGCATGCGTCCGGACACAAGCATGCGACTGGACTCAAGCTGCGTCCGGACACAAGCATGCGACCGGATTGAAGCATGCGTCCGGACACAAGCATGCGACCGGACACAAGCATGCGACCGGACTCAAGCATGCGTCCGGACACAAGCATGCGTCCGGACACAAGCATGCGTCCGGACACAAGCATGCGACCGGACCCAAGCATGCGTCCGGACACAAGCATGCGTCCGGACACAAGCATGCGTCCGGACACAAGCATGCGTCCGGACACAAGCATGCGTCCGGACACAAGCATGCGACCGGACTCAAGCATGCGTCCGGACACAAGCATGCGTCCGGACTCAAGCATGCGTACGGACACAAGCATGCGTCCGGACACAACCATGCGTCCGGACACAAGCTTGAGTCCGGACGCATGGTTGTGTCCGGACGCATGCTTGAGTCCGGACACAAGCATGCGACCGTACACAAGCATGCGTCCGGACACAAGCATGCGTCGGACACAAGCATGCGTCCGGACACAAGCATGCGTCGGACACAAGCATGCGTCCGGACACAAGCATGCGTCCGGACACAACCATGCGTCCGGGACACAACATGCGTCCGGACACAAGCATGCGTCCGGACACAAGCATGCGTCCGGACACAAGCATGCGACCGGACTCAAGCATGCGTCCAGACACAAGCATGCGTCCGGACACAAGCATGCGTCCGGACACAAGCATGCGACCTAACTCAAGCATGCATCCGGACACAAGCATGCGTCGGACACAAGCATGCGTCCGGACACAAGCATGCGTCCGGACACAACCATGCGTCCGGACACAAGCATGCGTCCGGACACAAGCATGCGTCCGTACACAAGCATGCGTCCGGACACAAGCATGCGTCGGACACAAGCATGCGTCCGGACACAAGCATGCGTCCGCACACAAGCATGCGACCTGACTCAAGCATGCGTCCGGACACAAGCATGCGTCGGACACAAGCATGCATCCAGACACAAGCATGCGTCCGGACACAACCATGCGTCCGGACACAAGCATGCGTCCGGACACAAGCATGCGTCCGGACACAAGCATGCGTCCGGACACAAGCATGCGCCGGACACAAGCATGCGTCCGGACACAAGCATGCGTCCGGACACAAGCATGCGTCGGACACAAGCATGCGCTCGGACACAAGCATGCGTCCGGACACAACCATGCGTCCGGACACAAGCATGCGTCCGGACACAAGCATGCGTCCGGACACAAGCATGCGTCCGGACACAAGCATGCGACCGGACTCAAGCATGCGTCCTGACACAAGCATGCGTCCGGACACAAGCATGCGACCGGACTCAAGCTGCGTCCGGACACAAGCATGCGACCGGATTCAAGCATGCGTCCGGACACAAGCATGCGACCGGACACAAGCATGCGTCCGGACACAAGCATGCGACCGGACTCAAGCATGCGCCCGGACACAAGCATGCGTCCGGACACAAGCATGCGTTCGGACACAAGCATGCGACCGGACTCAAGCATGCGTCCGGACACAAGCATACGTCCGGACACAAGCATGCGTCCGGACACAAGCATGCGTCCGGACACAAGCATGCTTTCCATCACCCCGCCCCATTCTCCCGCTTTCCATCACCCCGCGCCATTCTCCCGCTTTCCATCACCCCGCCCCACTCTCCCGCTTTCCATCACCCCACCCCTTTCTCCCGCGTTCCATCACCCCGCCCCATTCTCCCGCTTTCCGTCACCCCGCCCCATTCTCCCGCTTTCCATGACCCCGCCCCATTCTCCCGCTTTCCTTCACCCCGCCCCATTCTCCCGCTTTCCATCACCCGGCCCTATTCTCCCTCTTTCCATCACCCTGCCCCATTCTCCCGCTTTCCATCACCCAGCCCCATTCTTCTGCTTTCCATCACCCCACCCAATTCTCCCGCTTTCCATCACCCCGCCCCATTCTCCCTCTTTCCATCACCCCGCCCAATTCTCCCTTTTTCCATCACCCCTCCCCATTCTCCCTCTTTCCATCACCCCGCCACATTCTCCCACTTTCCATCACCGCGCCTCATTATCCCTCTTTCCATCACCCCGCCCCATTCTCCCGCTTTCCATCACACCGCCCCATTCTCCCTCTATCCATCACCCCGCCCTATTCTCCCTCTTTCCATCACCCCGCCCCATTCTCCTGCTTTCCATCACCCCGCCCCATGCTCCCGCTTTCCATCACCTTGCCCCATTCTCCCGCTTTCCATCTCCCCGCCCCATTCTCCCGCTTTCCATCACCCCGCCCCATTTTCCTGCTTTCCATCACCCCACCCCATTCTCCCGCTTTCCATCAGCCCACCACATTCTCCCGCTTTCCATCACCCTGCCTCATTCTCCCGCTTTCCATCACCCCGACCCATTCTCCCTCTCTTCATCACCCCGCCCCATTCTCCCTCTTTCCATCACCCCGCCCTATTCTCCCTCTTTCCATCACCCTGCCCCATTCTCCCGCTTTCCAACACCCCGCCCCATTCTCCCGCTCCATCACCCCGCCCCATTCTCCCACTTTCCATCACCCCGCCCCATTCTCCCGCTTTCCATCACCCCGCCCCATTCTCCCGCTTTCCATCACCCCGCCATATTCTCCCACTTTCCATCATCCCGCCCCATTCTCCCTCCTTCCATCACCCGCCCCATTCTCCCTTTTTCCATCACCCCACCCCATTCTCCCTCCTTCCATCATCCCGCCCCATTCTCCCGCTTTCCATCACCCCGCCACATTCTCCCGCTTTCTATCACCCCGCCCCATTCTCCCTCCTTCCATCACCCCGCCCCATTCTCCCGCTTTCCATCACCCCGCCCCATTCTCCCGCTTTCCATCACCCCGCCCCATTCTCCCGCTTTCCATCACCTAGCCCCATTCTCCCGCTTTCCATCACCCCGCCCCATTTTCTCCCGCCCCATCACCTCACCCTGCCCCATTCCCCGCTTTCCATCACCCCGCCCCATTCTCCCGCTTTCCATCATCCTGCCCCATTCTCCCTCCTTCCATCACCCCGCCCCATTCTCCCGCTTTCCATCACTCCGCCCCATTCTCCCTCCTTCCATCACCCCGCCCCATTCTCCCTCCTTCCATCACCCCGCCCCATTCTCCCGCTTTCTAATCACCCCGCCCCATTCTCCCGCTTCCCATAACCCCACCCTATTCTCCCGCTTTCCATCACCCTGCCACATTCTCCCACTTTCCATCACCCCGCCCCCTTCTCTCTCCTTCCATCATCCCGCCCCATTCTCCCTCCTTCCATCACCCCGCCCCATTCTCCCGCTTTCCATCAGCCCGCCTCATTCTCCCGCTTTCCATCACCCCTCCCCTTTCTCCCACTTTCCATCTCCCCGCCCCATTCTCCCGCTTTCCATCACCCCGCCCCATTCTCCCGCTTTTCATCACCCCGCCCCATTCTTCCGCTTCCCATCATCCCGCCCCATTCCCCCCCTTTCCATCACCCCTCCCCATTCTCCCTCCTTCCATCACCCCGCCCCATTCTCTCGCTTTCCATCACCCTACCCCATTCTCCTGCTTTCCATCACCCCGCCCCATTCTCCCGCTTTCCATCACCCCAGCCCATTCTTCCTCCTTCCATCACCCCGCCCCATTCTCCCGCTTTCCATCATCCCGCCCCATTCTCCCTCATTCCATCACCCCGCCCCATTCTCCCGCTTTCCATCACCCCGCCCCATTCTCCTGCTTCCCATAACCCCACCCCATTCTCCTGCTTTCCATCACCCCGCCACATTTTCCCATTTTCCATCACCCCGCCCCCTTCTCTCTCCTTCCATCACCCCGCCCCATTCTCCCTCCTTCCATCACCCCGCCCCATTCTCCTGCTTTCCATCAGCCCGCCCCATTCTCCCGCTTTCCATCACCCCGCCCTTTTCTCCCGCTTTCCATCTCCCCGCCCCATTCTCCCGCTTTCCATCACCCCGCCCCATTCTCCCGCTTTCCATCACCCCGCCCCATTCTTCCGCTTCCCATCATCCCGCCCCTTTTCCCCGCTTTCCATCACCTCTCCCCATTCTCCCTCCTTCCATCACCCCGCCCCATTCTCTCGCTTTCCATCACCTGCCCCATTCTCCCGCTTTCCATCACCCCGCCTCAATCTTTTGCTTTCCATCACCCCGCCCCAATCTCCCGCTTTCCATCACCCTGCCCCATTCACCCGCTTTCCATCACCCGCCCCATTGTCCCGCTTTCCATCACCCCGCCCATTCTCCCGCTTTCCATCACCCCGCCCCATTCTCCCGCTTTCCATCCCCCCGCCCCATTCTCCCGCTTTCCATCACCCCGCCCCATTCTCCCGCTTTCCATCACCCAGCCTCATTCTCCCGCTTTCCATCACCCCGCCCCATTCTCCCGCTTTCCATCACCCCGCCCCATTCTCCCGCTTTCCATCACCCCGCCCCATTCTCCCTCCTTCCATCACCCCGCCCCATTCTCCCACTTTCCATCACCCCGTCCCATTCTCCCTCCTTCCATCACCCCGCCCCATTCTCCCTCCTTCTATCACCCCGCCCCATTCTCCCGCTTTCCATCAGCCCGCCCCATTCTCCCGCTTCCCATAACCCCACCCCCGTCTACCGCTTTCCATCACCCCGCCACATTCTCCTGCTTTCTATCTCCTCGCCCCATTCTCCCTCCTTCCATCACCCTGCCCCATTCCCCGCTTTCCATCACCCCGCCCCATTCTCCCGCTTTCCATCATCCCGCCCCATTCTCCCTCCTTCCATCACCCCGCCCCATTCTCCCGCTTTCCATCACTCCGCCCCATTCTCCCTCCTTCCATCACCCCGCCCCATTCTCCCTCCTTCCATCACCCCACACCATTCTCCCGCTTTCCATCACCCCGCCCCATTCTCCCGCTTCCCATAACCCCACCCTATTCTCCCGCTTTCCATCACCCCGCCACATTCTCCCACTTTTCATCACCCCGCCCCCTTCTCTCTCCTTCCATCACCCCGCCCCATTCTCCCTCCTTCCATCACCCCGCCCCATTCTCCCGCTTTCCATCAGCCCGCCCCATCCTCCCGCTTTCCATCACCCCTCCCATTTCTCCCACTTTCCATCTCCCCACCCCATTCTCCCGCTTTCCATCACCCCGCCCCATTCTCCCGCTTTCCATCACCCCGCCCTATTCTTCCGCTTCCCATCATCCCGCCCCATTCCCCCCCTTTCCATCACCCCTCCCCATTCTCCCTCCTTCCATCAACCCGCCCCATTCTCTCGCTTTCCATCACCCCGCCCCATTCTCCCGCTTTCCATCACCCCGCCCCATTCTCCCGCTTTCCATCACCCCAGCCCATTCTTCCTCCTTCCATCACCATGCCCCATTCTCCCGCTTTCCATCACCCCGCCCCATTCTCCCTCATTCCATCACCCCGCCCCATTCTCCCGCTTTCCATCACCCCGCCCCATTCTCCTGCTTCCCATAACCCCACCCCATTCTCCTGCTTTCCATCATCCCGCCACATTTTCCCACTTTCCATCACCCCGCCCCCTTCTCTCTCCTTCCATCACCCCGCCCCATTCTCCCTCCTTCCATCACCCCGCCCCATTCTCCTGCTTTCCATCACCCCGCCCCATTCTCCCGCTTTCCATCACCCCGCCCCTTTCTCCCGCTTTCCATCTCCCCGCCCCATTCTCCCGCTTTCCATCACCCCGCCCCATTCTCCCGCTTTCCATCACCCCGCCCCATTCTTCCGCTTCCCATCATCCGGCCCCTTTTCCCCGCTTTCCATCACCCCTCCCCATTCTCCCTCCTTCCATCACCCCGCCCCATTCTCCCGCTTTCCATCACCTGCCCCATTCTCCCGCTTTCCATCACACCGCCTCAATCTTTTGCTTTCCATCACCCCGCCCCAATCTCCCGCTTTCCATCACCCTGCCCCATTCACCCGCTTTCCATCACCCGCCCCATTCTCCCGCTTTCCATCACCCCGCCCATTCTCCCGCTTTCCATCACCCCGCCCCATTCTCCCGCTTTCCATCCCCCCGCCCCATTCTCCCGCTTTCCATCACCCCGCCCCATTCTCCCGCTATCCATCACTCCGCCCCATTCTCCCGCTTTCCATCACCCCGACCCATTCTCCCACTTTCCATCACCCCGCCCCCTTCTCCCTCCTTCCATCACCCCGCCCCATTCTCCCTCCTTCTATCACCCCGCCCCATTCTCCCTCCTTCCATCACCCCGCCCCATTCTCTCGCTTTCCATCACCCCGCCCCATTCTCCCGCTTTCCATCACCCCGCCCCATTCTCCCGCTTTCCATCACCCCAGCCCATTCTTCCTCCTTCCATCACCCCGCCCCATTCTCCCGCTTTCCATCACCCCGCCCCATTCTCCCTCATTCCATCACCCCGCCCCATTCTCCCGCTTTCCATCACCCCGCCCCATTCTCCTGCTTCCCATAACCCCACCCCATTCTCCTGCTTTCCATCACCCCGCCACATTTTCCCACTTTCCATCACCCCGCCCCCTTCTCTCTCCTTCCATCACCCCGCCCCATTCTCCCTCCTTCCATCACCCCGCCTCATTCTCCTGCTTTCCATCACCCCGCCCCATTCTCCCGCTTTCCATCACCCCGCCCCTTTCTCCCGCTTTCCATCTCCCCGCCCCATTCTCCCGCTTTCCATCACCCCGCCCCATTCTCCCGCTTTCCATCACCCCGCCCCATTCTTCCGCTTCCCATCATCCCGCCCCTTTTCCCCGCTTTCCATCACCCCTCCCCATTCTCCCTCCTTCCATCACCCCGCCCCATTCTCCCGCTTTCCATCACCTGCCCCATTCTCCCGCTTTCCATCACACCGCCTCAATCTTTTGCTTTCCATCACCCCGCCCCAATCTCCCGCTTTCCATCACCCTGCCCCATTCACCCGCATTCCATCACCCGCCCCATTCTCCCGCTTTCCATCACCCCGCCCATTCTCCCGCTTTCCATCACCCCGCCCCATTCTCCCGCTTTCCATCCCCCCGCCCCATTCTCCCGCTTTCCATCACCCCGCCCCATTCTCCCGCTATCCATCACTCCGCCCCATTCTCCCGCTTTCCATCACCCCGACCCATTCTCCCACTTTCCATCACCCCGCCCCCTTCTCCCTCCTTCCATCACCCCGCCCCATTCTCCCTCCTTCTATCACCCCGCCCCATTCTCCCTCCTTCCATCACCCCGCCCCATTCTCTCGCTTTCCATCACCCCGCCCCATTCTCCCGCTTTCCATCACCCCGCCCCATTCTCCCGCTTTCCATCACCCCAGCCCATTCTTCCTCCTTCCATCACCCCGCCCCATTCTCCCGCTTTCCATCACCCCGCCCCATTCTCCCTCATTCCATCACCCCGCCCCATTCTCCCGCTTTCCATCACCCCGCCCCATTCTCCTGCTTCCCATAACCCCACCCCATTCTCCTGCTTTCCATCACCCCGCCACATTTTCCCACTTTCCATCACCCCGCCCCCTTCTCTCTCCTTCCATCACCCCGCCCCATTCTCCCTCCTTCCATCACCCCGCCTCATTCTCCTGCTTTCCATCACCCCGCCCCATTCTCCCGCTTTCCATCACCCCGCCCCTTTCTCCCGCTTTCCATCTCCCCGCCCCATTCTCCCGCTTTCCATCACCCCGCCCCATTCTCCCGCTTTCCATCACCCCGCCCCATTCTTCCGCTTCCCATCATCCCGCCCCTTTTCCCCGCTTTCCATCACCCCTCCCCATTCTCCCTCCTTCCATCACCCCGCCCCATTCTCCCGCTTTCCATCACCTGCCCCATTCTCCCGCTTTCCATCACACCGCCTCAATCTTTTGCTTTCCATCACCCCGCCCCAATCTCCCGCTTTCCATCACCCTGCCCCATTCACCCGCATTCCATCACCCGCCCCATTCTCCCGCTTTCCATCACCCCGCCCATTCTCCCGCTTTCCATCACCCCGCCCCATTCTCCCGCTTTCCATCCCCCCGCCCCATTCTCCCGCTTTCCATCACCCCGCCCCATTCTCCCGCTATCCATCACTCCGCCCCATTCTCCCGCTTTCCATCACCCCGACCCATTCTCCCACTTTCCATCACCCCGCCCCCTTCTCCCTCCTTCCATCACCCCGCCCCATTCTCCCTCCTTCTATCACCCCGCCCCATTCTCCCGCTTTCCATCAACCCGCCCCATTCTCCCGCTTTCCATCACTCCGCCCCATTCTCCCTCCTTCCATCACCCCGCCCCATTCTCCCTCCTTCCATCACCCCGCCCCATTCTCCCGCTTTCCATCACCCCGCCCCATTCTCCCGCTTCCCATAACCCCACCCTATTCTCCCGCTTTCCATCACCCTGCCACATTCTCCCACTTTCCATCACCCCGCCCCCTTCTCTCTCCTTCCATCACCCCGCCCCATTCTCCCTCCTTCCATCACCCCGCCCCATTCTCCCGCTTTCCATCAGCCCGCCCCATTCTCCCGCTTTCCATCACCCCTCCCCTTTCTCCCACTTTCCATCTCCCCGCCCCATTCTCCCGCTTTCCATCAGCCCGCCCCATCCTCCCGCTTTCCATCACCCCTCCCATTTCTCCCACTTTCCATCTCCCCACCCCATTCTCCCGCTTTCCATCACCCCGCCCCATTCTCCCGCTTTCCATCACCCCGCCCTATTCTTCCGCTTCCCATCATCCCGCCCCATTCCCCCCCTTTCCATCACCCCTCCCCATTCTCCCTCCTTCCATCACCCCGCCCCATTCTCTCGCTTTCCATCACCCTGCCCCATTCTCCCGCTTTCCATCACCCCGCCCCATTCTCCCGCTTTCCATCACCCCAGCCCATTCTTCCTCCTTCCATCACCCCGCCCCATTCTCCCGCTTTCCATCACCCCGCCCCATTCTCCCTCATTCCATCACCCCGCCCCATTCTCCCGCTTTCCATCACCCCGCCCCATTCTCCTGCTTCCCATAACCCCACCCCATTCTCCTGCTTTCCATCATCCCGCCACATTTTCCCACTTTCCATCACCCCGCCCCCTTCTCTCTCCTTCCATCACCCCGCCCCATTCTCCCTCCTTCCATCACCCCGCCCCATTCTCCTGCTTTCCATCACCCCGCCCCATTCTCCCGCTTTCCATCACCCCGCCCCTTTCTCCCGCTTTCCATCTCCCCGCCCCATTCTCCCGCTTTCCATCACCCCGCCCCATTCTCCCGCTTTCCATCACCCCGCCCCATTCTTCCGCTTCCCATCATCCGGCCCCTTTTCCCCGCTTTCCATCACCCCTCCCCATTCTCCCTCCTTCCATCACCCCGCCCCATTCTCCCGCTTTCCATCACCTGCCCCATTCTCCCGCTTTCCATCACACCGCCTCAATCTTTTGCTTTCCATCACCCCGCCCCAATCTCCCGCTTTCCATCACCCTGCCCCATTCACCCGCTTTCCATCACCCGCCCCATTCTCCCGCTTTCCATCACCCCGCCCATTCTCCCGCTTTCCATCACCCCGCCCCATTCTCCCGCTTTCCATCCCCCCGCCCCATTCTCCCGCTTTCCATCACCCCGCCCCATTCTCCCGCTATCCATCACTCCGCCCCATTCTCCCGCTTTCCATCACCCCGACCCATTCTCCCACTTTCCATCACCCCGCCCCCTTCTCCCTCCTTCCATCACCCCGCCCCATTCTCCCTCCTATCACCCCGCCCCATTCTCCCTCCTTCCATCACCCCGCCCCATTCTCTCGCTTTCCATCACCCCGCCCCATTCTCCCGCTTTCCATCACCCCGCCCCATTCTCCCGCTTTCCATCACCCCAGCCCATTCTTCCTCCTTCCATCACCCCGCCCCATTCTCCCGCTTTCCATCACCCCGCCCCATTCTCCCTCATTCCATCACCCCGCCCCATTCTCCCGCTTTCCATCACCCCGCCCCATTCTCCTGCTTCCCATAACCCCACCCCATTCTCCTGCTTTCCATCACCCCGCCACATTTTCCCACTTTCCATCACCCCGCCCCCTTCTCTCTCCTTCCATCACCCCGCCCCATTCTCCCTCCTTCCATCACCCCGCCTCATTCTCCTGCTTTCCATCACCCCGCCCCATTCTCCCGCTTTCCATCACCCCGCCCCTTTCTCCCGCTTTCCATCTCCCCGCCCCATTCTCCCGCTTTCCATCACCCCGCCCCATTCTCCCGCTTTCCATCACCCCGCCCCATTCTTCCGCTTCCCATCATCCCGCCCCTTTTCCCCGCTTTCCATCACCCCTCCCCATTCTCCCTCCTTCCATCACCTTGCCCCATTCTCCCGCTTTCCATCACCTGCCCCATTCTCCCGCTTTCCATCACACCGCCTCAATCTTTTGCTTTCCATCACCCCGCCCCAATCTCCCGCTTTCCATCACCCTGCCCCATTCACCCGCATTCCATCACCCGCCCCATTCTCCCGCTTTCCATCACCCCGCCCATTCTCCCGCTTTCCATCACCCCGCCCCATTCTCCCGCTTTCCATCCCCCCGCCCCATTCTCCCGCTTTCCATCACCCCGCCCCATTCTCCCGCTATCCATCACTCCGCCCCATTCTCCCGCTTTCCATCACCCCGACCCATTCTCCCACTTTCCATCACCCCGCCCCCTTCTCCCTCCTTCCATCACCCCGCCCCATTCTCCCTCCTTCTATCACCCCGCCCCATTCTCCCTCCTTCCATCACCCCGCCCCATTCTCTCGCTTTCCATCACCCCGCCCCATTCTCCCGCTTTCCATCACCCCGCCCCATTCTCCCGCTTTCCATCACCCCAGCCCATTCTTCCTCCTTCCATCACCCCGCCCCATTCTCCCGCTTTCCATCACCCCGCCCCATTCTCCCTCATTCCATCACCCCGCCCCATTCTCCCGCTTTCCATCACCCCGCCCCATTCTCCTGCTTCCCATAACCCCACCCCATTCTCCTGCTTTCCATCACCCCGCCACATTTTCCCACTTTCCATCACCCCGCCCCCTTCTCTCTCCTTCCATCACCCCGCCCCATTCTCCCTCCTTCCATCACCCCGCCTCATTCTCCTGCTTTCCATCACCCCGCCCCATTCTCCCGCTTTCCATCACCCCGCCCCTTTCTCCCGCTTTCCATCTCCCCGCCCCATTCTCCCGCTTTCCATCACCCCGCCCCATTCTCCCGCTTTCCATCACCCCGCCCCATTCTTCCGCTTCCCATCATCCCGCCCCTTTTCCCCGCTTTCCATCACCCCTCCCCATTCTCCCTCCTTCCATCACCCCGCCCCATTCTCCCGCTTTCCATCACCTGCCCCATTCTCCCGCTTTCCATCACACCGCCTCAATCTTTTGCTTTCCATCACCCCGCCCCAATCTCCCGCTTTCCATCACCCTGCCCCATTCACCCGCATTCCATCACCCGCCCCATTCTCCCGCTTTCCATCACCCCGCCCATTCTCCCGCTTTCCATCACCCCGCCCCATTCTCCCGCTTTCCATCCCCCCGCCCCATTCTCCCGCTTTCCATCACCCCGCCCCATTCTCCCGCTATCCATCACTCCGCCCCATTCTCCCGCTTTCCATCACCCCGACCCATTCTCCCACTTTCCATCACCCCGCCCCCTTCTCCCTCCTTCCATCACCCCGCCCCATTCTCCCTCCTTCTATCACCCCGCCCCATTCTCCCGCTTTCCATCAACCCGCCCCATTCTCCCGCTTTCCATCACTCCGCCCCATTCTCCCTCCTTCCATCACCCCGCCCCATTCTCCCTCCTTCCATCACCCCGCCCCATTCTCCCGCTTTCCATCACCCCGCCCCATTCTCCCGCTTCCCATAACCCCACCCTATTCTCCCGCTTTCCATCACCCTGCCACATTCTCCCACTTTCCATCACCCCGCCCCCTTCTCCCTCCTTCCATCACCCCGCCTATGGGGAAGGGAATTGTATGGCATGGGGTTTCCTTGGTTGGGGACTCTCTTGGGACCTTCCCTCTCGTCCTCCTCATCCCTTCCACCTGGTTTAGTGCTACTCCAATTCTCTTGTGTGAACTTTGTGATTGAGTTAAGATTCTATGGCAGCATACCCCCTAGTGCGCCGAAATTGATAGCTCAAGAAATACTTCACCTTTTTGCATGATTCAACTTGGGCATTGAAGCCACGGAGTAGAGCTACAACATAATCGAGTTTGATGAAGTTTTGACAGTGACCTTTTCGTCGACGGCGTTTCTTGTGAACTCGACTTTTCTGTTCAGAAACTAGGCCCAACGATGTTGAGATATTTTTGCTACTAATCTTCATAGACTCCGTCCTCAGTCTCTAACAGTCCGGACACAAGCATGCGACCGGACACAAGCATGCGTCCGGACACAAGCATGCGTCCGGACACGAGCATGCGTCCGGACACGAGCATGCGACCGGACTCAAGCATGCGTCCGGACACAAGCATGCGTCCGGA